CGTGTTGGAAGCTCAACAGCGTAACGCTTCAGCGAGGAAGTGGGTGGTAGGCGAATTCCAGGAGTAGAGTTGTCTCCGGTCGAGCGTGGAATGTTCGTGTTTCAGCCACTAACGTGCTGGCTTCTCGATACGTATGCTGCCCACCGTACACGGAAAGATCTTCTCGTGTCGACTCGTCCAACAAGAGTCGGTTAAAGAAGGTTCCACTTTTCCCAACACCGACGTCGAACCAGACGCCGACACCGACACCGACACCCACGTTAATGGGTTTCCTATTAACGTGAAAATATGTTGCCTTAACGTACTGACGCATGTTTTACAATGTGCATTCTTACCTGTGCTTTTCACAAGGTTTAGTTTACAGTTTGCCCCTTTCGGCCAGTATTACTAAACTAACTTTAGCGTACTATAAAATTCAAATAAAATTCAACAGGTTACAATGAACATTAAAGGTGCTAATTTCATGGCATTACATAATTATTGTGTAGTTATGGCGATCTCATAATTCGAGTTCTAAAGGTGATCATAAACTATCTACAAAATAAGATTTAAACTAATGAATATTTACACTTTCACAACTTCAATAGATTTTACTTATTTCAAACTGCTTTGCCACAAATCTTTTATACAAATTATCACTAGAACTCACTTCTTCTATTATTTTAAATTTTCCGAAACACGTCTTGATGAATTGAACATTCCACTAAAAGTGAGGCAAGCTATAGTTCTTTGTTCACAAAGAACCCTGATTTTTATTAGACGAACAAATTTGGTTATGTCCTTGAGCTGGCCTTTTGAAATATTGTGCGTCGTAATATGGTGGATTATTAATAAAGAAGTATATCTACTCCCGTGATAATCAAATTGAAACAAATCGAGCAGTAAAGGAAATGAGAAAAACGGGTCAAGCAGAATGTTGCTTATCCCGTTATCAAAGGCGCAAACTAATTCAAATTATAAAGTCAATCTATAGGGTTCTAAACTTATCGTTACACTATCCAGCGGTCTGCTTCGTACGGGTCATCCATGAATGTTCCTTTCTGAAAAAAAAATTGTATTTATGAGGTTCTTGAACCTACAATCCTACATTCTGTCGGTTTCCTGAAGATAATATCTGTATATGTTTTATGCTGCTACAATCATGACCACTCGCGCTTAAAAACAAAACGATAAACGTCAAAATTTGATGTTTAACGTTGAGCGCATGTAAAATTATATAATTTATGGTGGAAGATTGAATGTGTCGCGGTAAATTAAAGTGTTTTTCAGTGAAATTGAAACCTCTCATGTAAAATTAAATTAAAATGAACTTACTTTTAAATTAGATATTATATTTTTATAAATTACAACTTTTCAAATGGAAAATTGTGTGTGATATTGTTTTGCGTTAAAATTTATTCAATTACTTTTGAAATCAAATCACGATTAATTTTCATATATTTTTACTGTGTATGGCATGAAAGATTTGGTCACTTAGGGGATACTTCCTTGCTAAAGCTGGTTAAGAACAATATGGTTAAGGGGTTGGACATTCAACCATCATCCGTCTTGACTGAAACATCTGTTTGCCAAGGATGTGTAGATGGAAAGCAGTCAAGGAAACCCGTTGATAATAGCTTAAGAGCATACCAGCAGGCCACTGGAATTGATCCACTCGGATGTGGCAAAATGTCAGATGATACTTATGACGATTATAAGTATTTCGTATCGTTTATTGATGACTTCCGAGATGTGTGACACATCCAGAATATCTACTTTACAGCATAAATCTCACATATCTTTTGATCATCTATTTACTGTGAACTATATGTTTTTATCTGTGACATCTATTCATCTACTCTCGCATCTTGCGATCCACTCAGATTTTTTCGATCAACTTGTTTTATAAAACTTATTCAAAGGAAATAAAACCTAATTACCTTTTTTCATAGAATCTTACAACTTGTTCACGGATTGCAAGCTCATAGTCTGTAACCGGACTGTGTTGCGTATGAAGCTGCGATGCTCTCGAAGCTGTTACATTCGATGTTTGCGAGGGTGTTTGCTTCTCCTTCCTAAAGAAATAATTGATTCCTCGCTTCCTAACTGCTGCTGCCAGCATCTTCATGATAGCTCCTTCTCCGGCAAGAAAACGAAAATCTGCGGGATTGTTCTCAAATTTTTCGAAGGACTTCAAAAGATCCCTGTTGGATGTTTTAATAGACACCCGTTGAACGTCTTTTTCAATGTTGGCGATTTCGTGGTCGTCGATATTCCCCAATGCAGCGTTCAAATAACCCGTGTATTCTAGGGCGCACTTTACGGGAAGCGGGATCCTACCCACATCTTTCTCGGCTGCTTTCCAAAACTCCTCCTCCGGAAGTAGGTTTATTGTATATGTATTTATTTTTATTTTCAGATAAGAAAACGTTACTTACCATTGTGACACTAGCATTCACTTCCTCACTTGCATTCACTTGCTAACTGTTGTTATATTCACTGCACTTACTTAATCAGTTATTTATCAACTTCAACTTAGAAAATGGAGATTTTTTCCTGCTTCTAGAAAAGCTGCTACAATTCATTCGTTGCCTCGCCTGCTGTTGCTTTTTTTCACTTTTATCTGGTCATTCATCTAGCATTTTTCCACATACTTGCTCGCATCTACTTCCATCTTCGGCAGCGTTGGTAGCGGTGAAAAACAAAGATGCAGCAGATGCTACACACTAAGATTTTTTACAGGAGTCAGTATTTTTCAACTGGGTTTTTGATTTGCTGAAAAAGTCGGTAAAAATTCAAATTACCGTTATGCGTAAGGAATCAATTAAATCGACCAATTTTATTTTCTATCATTAAATGGAGTTAACAGAACTAAGTATGTACAAGTTCAGAACAAATTTTCTCATAAATAAATTTTCCACAGATTTTTTTATTTTTTACCGAACAGTTCCGCAATTCAAAAACTCAGTAAAACCGTACTGACTCGATTAGTGTGTAGGGAAAGTAATCTAATGAATGTACACTGATCTAAAAAGGCGGTTCGATTCTTTACAGAATCCAATTGTAATTTAGATGTGTCGCATCCCTCGATGACTTCACACATTTTGTAGTGATTTACCTGATTCGAGCAAAGAGTGAAGTACATCTTAAATTCATGGAGTTTGAAGCGATGGCGACAGCCAAGTTCTCTTCTCGAATTAGCCGAAAGGGATCCAGATGATTCCTACTGCTCCATATACGCCGCAACAAAATGGGGTTAGCGATCGTATGAATCGTACCTTAATGGAGAAGGTAAGAGCAATTTTACACGGGAGTGAAATGCCTTATGAAATGTGGGGGGAGGCACTCTATGTTTCGGCATATTTAACAAATAGGATTCCGACAAGCGCTTTGAGTTATTCCAAGACCCCATTCGAAATGTGGTTCAATGAGAAACCTGACGTAAGCAAACTGAAAACGTTTGGTTGTGTTACATTTGCACATGTTCATAAGGAACATAGAACCAAACAATGATCTCCGTGTGGTAGATTTACCAATGGTCCCGACCAAAGAGAGCGTTGTGGTAGATTTACCAACGAATTTGAACAGTGAACGTAGGTAGGTTTAACAAATAAATTGATTAACGAACGCTTTGTGGTAGATTTACCAATGAATTTGAACATTGCGCCCTGCGAAGTAGTTTTACCAGCAGGTGGTGAACTGAAACAAGATGTTGTACCAGATGTTCTGGATCTTGAGTTTGTTTCTGTGGAAATGGGAAATCAGGACTGTATGGAAGATGATATTGATATTTTTCATGATGCTGAAAATAATACTGATTCGGAGAATATTGGTCAACGTTCCCGGAGGGCACCAGCCTGGTTGAGAGACTACGAGACCAGTTTTCTATTATCGAGTAGTTCAGGGGAAGTTCCTCAGATAATAGACGAACTTAAAATGAGACACGATTGGAACAAATGGAAAGATGCCATTGATGAGGAATTGAAATCCTTACGCGAAAATGACGCTTGGGTTTTAGTGGAAGACATTCCAAATAATCGCAAGCCTGTGAACTCCATGTGGTTATTTATGATCAAAAATATTTTTACATTATAGGAATCCAGTGGCACCAGTACTATAGGAATCCGGAAAGAACGAATCCGTACTATAGGAATCTTGACTGTACTATTAAGAAAAACCATGGTTGATGAAAAGCCAAGTGCCTATGTTCGTCACTGACTGCTTAATATCAATGACAATTTAAACGGTTCCCTTGGAGATCATTTTTAGCATGAGTGAGTGACGAAAACTGTTTTGCCTATATCGCCGTGTGTGGTTTAATTTTGCAGCACTGCTCCTGACATACCGCAATTGGGTTTTTTAATTTTGAAAAATATATCGGTTATTATACATCATCTGGAAGAGTTTCGGTTCTAAGCACAACGATATTTTTTCGATCTCATAGATTTACAAAAAAAAAACGCATCTACGAGTTATTTCTTTCTTGGTGAGATAGATTTGTACGCGTGATTTTCGTGCAACCATTAGTTTTTTTTAAATCCCCGCAATAATTTCAATTTATCTTTGAAAACGAAATGCGCCGAAACTATTGCCATACACATGCATTTGGCGACGATTCTAATGAAACAGAACACCTATCATCGATTGAAAACAAAATATACCTATCAGATAGCAGCACTTGCATCTGCTAGTTCAAACACAAACCAAGCTGTAAGATCATATTATCCATCCCACATAGCCTCACGAGTCACGAGTATCGCTTCACATCTCCCGCACGAATATTGGCAGTGGCAATCAGCTGTTTTCGGCGTCTCTGCCAGCACAATGCTGTCAGTGCAGCGTTGTTTACACCGATTTGTTTATGTTTACAAACGTGTCCCACGCGGCCTGTGCTTTTTGGTGTGCGTATTAGCGCTGCTGGAAATTGGTGTGCGTTCCGATTGCACAAAGTGTCATAATTTGACAATCGTCTTGTCAAAAACGATTTTTCTTCTACCGTCCTCAGAAGAATTCTAGTTGGATTATAGTTTTCATTGTTTGCAATCTTTTTGATAAAAAGTATGCGAAAAATGTAGGTGAACGTAGTCTAATAGTGCCCTGTTGATGCAAGTTGGTGTCATCCAGTGAAGGAATAGTCTATTTTGCCGAAAAATCGCTTGTAGATTTAATGATTGTGATAATCTAAAGGTGCAGTCGTCCCGTTTAAGAAAATAGGAGGAGTTTCGCATGTCATGAGCATAAAATGCATAAAATGAACATAAATGTGCCCAGAAATCGTGCCCTGATTTGATTTCCATTGATTTTAAGTGAATTTAGGCCAATGCATCGCAGGTAGTTGAGATTTTCTGCTCGGTGTTGGATAGCCATAGTGCGAGAAGAGGAGAAAATGTCGTGTACGGATTTAATGAAGCCTAGACAAACTGTCGCCACTATCGTGTAATGATAGTGAAGTAAGAAGGCGAAAGCATACATTGGAGCTGGTATCGGAATAGCTTGGGCTGCATATAAACGATTGATTTTTTGAGGGGTTTATTTTTCTCGAAATCGAAATGGCATCTGCCATTGAGAAACCGGAAGGTTCTTCTTCTGATCAATCGAGGCATGAGCCAGAGGAAGAACTTGAAGGAGCAGTTGGCGTGTCGGAAGCAGATGCAAGTTCACGGTTTACCATCCCCTTGAAGAGCACCGACGACGACGACGACGACGATGATGAAGATCCACTAGAACTGAAAAATCAAGAAAACCTTCCACCTACACCGTATGAAGAATGTTTGGATTTGAAAATTTTCGAAACCCTCGCTCAGCAGGAACTTGAAGCGGAAGCTCAACGGGCAGATGATAGGAAACAGGATGTTGCAAGCATGAATTTCATCGGTAAGTTCGATTTTCCTGTTTTGTGACCAGACTTTGTAATTGATGCATCGTTGTTTCAGATGGTTGTGAATCATCTCCTGGTCGTGATCGTGAACCATCTAGCAAACCTTCTCCAACGTGTTGCTCGGCCACTACTCCAACATCAAATGGCGGACATCATGGTGATTCCTGCGGGTCATCCAGTTCCTCAGCTCCATGTTCTGGTGTTCGTCGCAAAGCCAAAGTAACTTCAACATCCCTCGAGGAACCAGCTCTGAACGGGACAAAGAAGAAGGTTCGCCCCAACGGATCTCTTAAGTCGTCACCCTCGCAGGATTATCTTCAGATTTGGACGACTGCCACAGGTGATAATCAAAGTGAAGAAGAAGAGCAATCTCAAAAGCAAGCATCAAGTCCAACCATGCAAATTCATCGGCCATTGGAGCGATCGTGGCCTCCAAAGCACAATCGAAAGCAACAATCTCAACAAGGATCTGAAGAATTTTCATTTGACATCATAGATACGGACGAGCAAAGTTACGGAGCAGGAGCAGAAGGCACATCTTCTGGTGTGGAATTTGCACCAGGGGAGTTCTTTGAGCAGAAGCCAAAGCAACTGCGACATGAGAAGGTTGCACGTGTGATAAAGCAACCTTTGGAAGGAATTCATGAAAGTGCACCGTTAGCTACTCCTGAAACTGATGGAAGCTTATCCGATAATACACCGCTGAGACTAGGAAGACTGGACAGGAATGCCAATCCCGATATAGAGACTGTAGCTGAAGCTGCTGAACCCAGTACCAGTAGCCTAACAAAACCCCCGTTGAAGAAAACCTCTCGAGCTGAGTACAGCTTTCCCGAGGCAGATCAACAGCCATCTTGTTCGACTGAATCTACTGTGGTTGATGTTATTGGAGAATCCAGTGTGAATCTACATAGACCGTTGACAAGAACATTGTCTAATAGCAAGACGAAGCATACCGTCAATGGTCCCATCATTCCAGGTGAACTGCTCGTCGGAGAACCCATAAGAGCAACACATGTTATATTTCCGATCCAAAGCTTATCACCTTGCGCAAGGAGTCCTCCTTCCGGATCATCCACTCGCTCAGGGTCACCTTTGGAGCATTCTCCAGATCGATCGTCTCCTGTCATTGTACATCCAAAACCGATTCGGCCTCAGCCACGTCCGTTGACCAGAGTTGGATGCACTCGAAGTGATCTGATTTGTCCTCCGACCCCAACGCATCACGCCCGAAGGCTTCGGGTGCTATCAGACAACTTTGGGCCACCGGATTTAAGACCGCGAAACGTTTTCTCACCCGACACTGCAGTTTCACCTGAAATGCGTTACAATGAGCTTGTAGCAGTCACCGGAAGCCGCGTTGATCAACTACGGGTCGGTGAAGGTCGAGAAGACGAGATCGAAACTGATTCACCTATGCGGCACTTGACCAGCACCAGACTTCCGTCCATCCCGGAACGTGCTCGTGGAGCACTCGCGGAACCAGACGAGCCACTTCCTCCAGCATGGGAAGCCAGAATGGATAGTCATGGTAGGATATTTTACATTGACCACGCTACGAGAAGCACCTCTTGGCAGAGACCTGGCGCACAATCCGGCATGACCGGCCCTGATCAACATCGTCAACAGCTCGATCGTCGTTATCAATCCATCAGAAGAACGATCTACGATCGACGTGACGGAGGTAGTCGTAGTCCGCCACGGTTTGGTTTCGAACCGATTAATCCACGCCAAGGAGCATCGGCCATTGCAGTTGCTATTAATGCTACTCAGATCGAAAACCTTCAGTTCGATCGAGCTGCTCACCCTGCCCTGTTGATGATCTGTCGCCCGGATTTCTATTCGATGCTTCACACCAACACGGATGCCATTCCGATCTACAATCGCAATGCTGCACTGAAGCACATGGTTTCCCGGGTCCGACGGGACCCGACCTGCTTTTCCCGCTATCAGCACAACCGTGATCTTGTCAACCTAGTCAATTGCTTCTCTTCGCCGGATAAAGATCTGCCTTCCGAGTGGGAATCAAAGGTGGATCAAAGTGGAAAGCAATTCTTCATTGACCATGCCAATCGGCGTACGTCTTTCATGGATCCGCGAGTGCCTACCGACTGTCCTCGGGCACGCCACAGACCCGAGCAGTTGATCGCTGCCACTACAGTAGCCCCGATGGATATTGCACCAATTCCACCGCCCAGACCTCCGGCATTGCCACGTTTGAGTATCGGATCGCCAGAGATTCCGGTGGCTTACAATGATAAGGTGCGTTTGTATTTTTGTAGACCAATGTGTAAAAGATGTTTTATAAATTTCTATTGCCAGGTGGTTGCATTTCTGCGTCAGCCGAACATCTTGGAAATCCTTCGGGAACGTCACGGGGCAGCGGCTTGTTCGAGAAATCTTCGCGAAAAGATCAACTCCATCCGAGTGGAAGGAACGGCGGCCTTGGATCGACTCAGTCACGATTTGCAGTTGACGATCCTTCTGAGGTGAGTGGATTTTATGAATGTGGAAATAGAACACCTATGGTGCGTGTGTTGCTTTTGGAAAGGAACCTTAATTAGGAAGCAAATGTGGCGGTGAGGCTATACTGTTCTACGAAGTAGAACTACCGCTTGCGGGCGATCCGCTTGGGTGAGTTTTAATGGCGTAATTTGCAATCGAAACGGGTTCGGGTGAATCGTGGTCGTCTTTGTCAGGGGGCAATGCAAAAGTCGTGGTTGAACGCTAGTAGGGTAAATGATGGCTTCGGAAATACCCTTACCGATTTTCGCCAGTGGGTCTTGGAGAGTCCATGAGCGGTATTTTATGCACCAGGAATTCAATTGCTGGGAAACAGATAAAAAAGGCATGCTGAATATAAAATTTAAATACATAAAGTCCACATCGACCAGCGCCCCGATCAGAATACCATTCCAGGGAAATTTACTCTGTGTAGAACTGTATATAAATTAACAGAAATTTCCGGAGGCTTCTAGAGGAACCTTGTTGGAGCGATTGGAAAGAGCTTTCAGAAAAGTCTTACTTTCTAGAGCTGACTCTGTCGGGAGATAATCTTCCAGAGAAAGTCGGTAGAAAGTTCCGGGGTAAGTCAGCAGGACTTCCGAGGGAACTGGGAAATAGCGTTCAGGAGAAATTGTAAGAATTCGGTGAAATCGAAATAAACTCCCAGTTGCAGGAATCTTCCGGTGGAAGTCAGTAACACATGAAAAATAGAAGTCATAAGAAAACTTCCGGGTTCTGTTTGAAGATTTTTTCAAAGGAAATCATAAGATTACTTCCCCTTCATTTTGAAGCAACTACTGAAAATTTTCATCGGGGATCTGTAGCAAAAATCGCTCAAAAATCGGAAAAACTCAAAAACTTAAATCTCATGCGTGATTTAATCGCCTATGAGTTTTGCCTTGCAGAATTCAACTGCGTAAAAATCATCGATGGGTTTTCAGGCGCAAATGTTCATTGTTCTATATTTTGGAGTAATTCATTGTTATAACAGTTGCATCAGTGGATGGCAAACTAACACAACATGCATAAGCATGCTATCAATCGACGTTTGGTCGGTTTTTATGAGTTTTAGGCTCGAATGATTTGTTTGGCGTTGTGAGTGTGAGTGCGTGGAAATACATAAGAATCTCAAGAGTGAGATTTGCTTTCCAGATTTGCTCATGAGTTTATTCACTCAGGGAGGCTCAATTAATGAATTTTCAAGACACTGAAACTAAGTATTAAAAGAAAATTTTATCTTTGCCACAAGGTTCTGGAAGAGGGTTTGCCGAAGCCGGCATTTGCCCTATGGTGATAGAATGTATTATTTGGAACTAATGCATAATTGATTTTTAATTTATATTTTGAATCGTCGTTATGGTCAGCATCAATAAGTCATTATTCTTTTTTTTTGTATTTTGTGTGAGTATTATTCAACCAGTTCTAATTTATTCACATCTGACTTCCAATCAATGAACAACAGCGATGTTCCATTTTACAACACCCTGTTCCTCACTGCTCTTTCAATGCGATTTGAGATCCTAAATAACTGTGCGAGTCGAACGATCTCTCGATTTGCAGGAGAATTTTAAATTTTGTGTGGAAAAATGTATTGTAAGCGGAACGATCCTATTTATTTGCTGACCTAAAATTCAATATTGCTGAAATTTCACCAAATCTCGGACATAGATTGAGAATAATATACAAAACAAACTTTGTCGAAGACTGCAAATCTATTTGATCGTTGGGCAAAAAGTTACTAATCTTTCACTTTAAGCCAAATGTTAATAAAGTTAACCCATCTTGGGCCTATCGAGCAGAAAACTTTAAATAAATCCATGATTTCAGAGTTAACAAGTCAATTATGCGTTTGGTACGATACTTTAGTTAATAAGCTACCGAACGAAGTCAATGAGAACGCTTGATATGAAGGTTTCCACCCATTATTCCCAAAAACAAAAGAAGCACTCCGACCGAATCAATTTTATCTTCATCCGATAGGCCGAAGTGAATTCAATGGCGTTTCATTGCGTTAGGCCGAGTTTAGAACCCGTAGGCCGAGTTTGGCGTCAAGAAGCAGTGTTAGACTTTTGACAATATCTCAACGATTGGTTTCTCTTTATCAAATCTTACGGTACGTACGGAAAGGTAAATTAGTTTGGAAGCCATCAGTAATAATATCATTCCGCTTGGTGCTAAACTGCGCTACATTAAGAAACACTAAGTGCGGATTGTGTTTAATAGGCCGAAAATGGGGTAGTTAACCCTACCGTATTATCCAGCATGTACTAATTTCTAGCACAGAAAGCCATCCAGCATGCATCATCAATCAACTATTGCATACTGCATGGCGTAAATTGAGCAATTCCGTAGTGATTTGAGATTTGGGCGTAATTACATTTGCAAACAAACACGGCAATCACCGATTTATCGCGAATAAAACCCCAATCTCGAAAACTAATAACACTATCAGGTAGAGGATTTATTGGTCTGTTATTTGCTGTAGTTTGTTAACGAGATTGAGTTTTAATTCGTGAGAAACCCGAGACTGGCGCGTTTGTTTACAAAAGCAATTACGCCAAAATCTCAAAACACTCCGGAATTGTGCTAAATAAACATTCAACCATTAATGATATTACATAATATGTAATTATGTAATATCATTAATCAGGGAAACGTCGCCGACACAATACTGATTTACGACTTCGGAAGAGTAGAGTTACTAGCAGCTCGATAGCTTCACCAGAATCAGAAGCTTCCACCCTAGTAGCACGCTTGTCACATTTCAATTGTAGAAACTTATATACGACTTATTTCAGTCATAAACAAGTTGCTGTAACTTATTGTGATGAAAGTGTGCTACTCGGGCATACCTACACCGTTTGAAAAATTCATATAAATTTCTGCGATATATAGCGCACACGTTGTTAACGCTAGATTTAGCGTAAATTTACACGATATTTCATGTAAACATGTTAATTTGAGCGTGATTTCTCACAAACCAGCAGTGTTATAAACCAGCGTTTTTATTTCGTTGTCTGTGCAGACTATAACTTAAAATCAAACGAGGGAAGATATTACGCGATGATAATAATTATTTTTTTTTCTGTGTACTGCTTTGTTGTAGTGTCCCGGCGCTATTGATGAATCTACGTTACGGTCTTGGAAATGGCAGATCAACGTTTCCAGATTGTTTTAAAGCTTATCGGTGTCAAAGGTATTAAAAAATCGGTATTTATCGGTATTTACTATTTATTTAGTTTTATATTATTGCCGTTTTAAAAATTTTAAAGATGGTGACGACTGTGATTTGAGGGGAATTGCTTTATTTGGTGGCTTTCTCAACCTTAAACCACTCTTTATTTTTTAATTTAATTTTTAAAATTATCGTTGTCCTCAAGTAGTGAAGTCCTGTCAAAATTGTGACCAAGTAGTGTTTTTTTTTCAATTAAATATCATTAAATGAAACGAAAATATGGAAAATCAGCCACAACAACGACTAAACTATTGACAATAACTTCAAACAATATTTTTCCATGAAAAAGCCACAACCTATGGCCGAAATGTCGGGCAGATTACATTGTAGTCATTGCAGTGTTTTAAGACTGAGAAAGCCGTTAATCGAAGCAAAATTTTCGCTTTTGAACTATGATCGGAAAATTCCGGAAGAAAACTCCGGGAAATGTTTGAATAAGCTTCTGAATGGAGCTGAAAAAACATCCAGAGAAAGACGAAAGAAGCTCTCCTGGATGAAGTTCGAGAAAAGCAGGAAAAACCTCCGGAAAACTTTCAAGACACGAATTGAGAAACTTGTGGCGAAAATTTAAATAAACTATCAGAAAAAATCGAATGTCACATCCATAGGAAGCCAGAAAACTTTCGGAAACCGGAAGTAAATTTTCAGAAGTAGCCATTTTCAGGGAAAGCCAGAAGAAGCTCAGAAAAACCTTCCAATGGAAGTCGGACAAAAAAACCTTTGGCTTCTGGTCAAACTTCCAGAAGAAGACGAAAGAAATTTCTGAGAGAATTAATTGAACTTCCTGGAGAAGACGAAAGCAACTTCCTGGAGACGCTGGCAGAAACTTCCTAAGGTAGATTGGAAGAAACATCTGAAGAAAGTCGGAAGCCAAAGCCGCTTACGGAACAGTTGAAAGAAACAAGGACATAATTCAGAATGAAAGATTCCTGGGGGATGTTCTAATGATCCAGAAAATTTTCCTGATATTAAAAAAAATAACCCTGAAGACTCCGAAATTTCCCTGATGTTTTCGGGACATTCCTGAAATGGAGGAATGGAATATTCCATAATTCCTCGAAATTCCTTAAAAGTTATTGTAATTTTTCAGAAATTAAGAGCTGTTTTGGAGTTCTCTGGGCATCCTCGAAGCGCTCGAAACTTCTCTGATTATAATAAGACTACCGGAATATCTCTAATTACCTTAGAAGGTCTTTGGACTTTCTTGAAGATTACAAAATCTCATAAGTACTCTCACAATTTTCTTTCATTTATTGTAACATCAGCATTGAAGTTCTCTGATCTTCCCGATTTTTTTTTAATTTTTAAAAGTTATCGACACTGCCATTAAAAAGCTCTTCCCATAAAATGTTCTCACAATGATCTAATTTTCATGTAACTAAATGTTTCCTAAATTTGCATGAAGTTTGAAGTGAAGTGAAGTTTCCAAAATATTTATGGTGTTACCTTAAGTTCATTGGAATTCTCTGGAATTTTCTGAAATTTCCGGGTTTTTGAATTTTAACAGAAGTTAATGAAACTGTCTTTAATTTATCAAAACTTACACTTTTCTGAAGTTTCAGAACTTCTTAAATGTGCTTGCAGCTAGTGTGGATCCGCAATAAAAATCTGATAGCATCCTTGAAGCTCCGGGAGAAGAAGAAAGAATAATTCGAGCAAAGGCTGATGAAGCTTCCAAGGTAAGGTATAAGAATATTCCAAGGATAGTTGTACAAAACTTCAGGAAGTTTAAGAATGAATAAAAACTTC